CTCACTCTATCTTGCACATTGGCTTGGCAGACTGACGGCTCTGAGTTGCCAGGTTAAGCCAATGCTGACTGCGTTGTCTGGCCGGGCAAGCGGCAACCGCAAGCGGGACGACGATGGCTTCAGAGTAAGTGACTGATGTGGATGTATCCCCTTTTACTTGTCTCGTCTCGGTGTGCATGTGTGCAGATATAGGTAGCTGTGCGGCTGGCTAACTGGCGTATCGAGCGCGAGCTGCCGTTGTGAGCTGGCATTATAGAGACGGATCCGTGTATGTACGGGTTTTCCTAGTTTGCGTGCCGGCTAACACGGGAAGGGCGGATAAGGTCGCGCTCGTTGTCCTGATCGACAAAGGACGACGCTGGAACTCGTAACACAAAAGGGACAACGCGCTTGTGCACGTCGGCTGTGCTCCTATGGGGCCGATTTTAAAGCTTTGCTATGTATATCGTGGTATGGAATAACACCACAATGGAAAAACCGCATGACACGCTCGTATGCAAACTCGATTAGGAGCAGGGGACGAGGACCGCATTAAACAACAGCTAAATTAACTAAATCGACCTGTCAATGATATGATTATTCCTCACGTTTGCAATAGTATATGTAGAAAAACATTGTGCAAGAATCGTTTTTGCTTGAACCTATCAATCAGGTGGCTAGCGACCGAAAATTGTTGCAAGGAAAACTTCTGTCCGAGCAAATTCACGGTACATCACTCCTTCAGTGACACTGATACATAGGTAGTACAGTGGCTGAATTCTTATAGGAAGTATGGAGGTTGCTTTGGTCGTATCGGTTATTTGGCGGAGGCAGAACTCGGCGGTCACAAAAGGCAACCATTAGGCCAAATAGGGCTGCTTCCTCCCCTAGAGACAAGACAAACTAGCTGGGTGGATGGCTGATGTCTCCGTCGGCGATACATTATTCACGACTTTTTTCCTACTCTTTCTACCGCATTTACCGCCCCACCCTGCAGGCAACTCGGCATGCAGCCTCGCGCAGCAAACATACCATCGCCACATCATCTCAATAGAGCGCTTTAGTACGAGCTTGCAAATGCAACCCTTTCTTTTCACTGGTTATTTCCATATTGGGCCATTAGAGCCAGAATTCGTTCGAATGCTTAAAAAGAAGACCTACCTATATAACAGACAAATTATAAAAAGCCACAATTTCGATAACATACGATTCTATAAATTACAATTATTATTCTTATTTTTTATAGAGACTGATGAACAATTTGTGTCTATATACGTTCATAAAGTTCATTGCACAACGCGAAAGAATAATATTATTCTCGTTCCTCTACCGTTTGGTTTACCCACTTACCACTCGTTGCTTCGGACGCTATTAGCCTTTTAACTTCGGTGGTGATGCCCAGGATTCGGCGAAAGCGATCAGGGGGAATAGGGAATAAGTGCTCTTTGTTTAATTGATGGTCAGTCGGCTTGAGCTGAAGATGAAGAAGAATTTTAATTCAAATCAAGTTATCCCTCTTGCGGTCTCATAGAGGACAGTTAATTCGGCTGCTCATGAGGTCACACGAGTATTACTGAATGAACAAGTCTTCCCCTAGTCCGGGCACAACAATAGATTTTGTCCTTAAGCTGACCTGGATTACATAGTAGGGCCGACCTAACCAGACTACCGGCCTCTTTGTTGGTAGACTATACACAAGATCGTCTCATGATGGAACTAAAAGACCCCTTCATTTGGGACAGATTAACTGCTTAGGACAATAGGAATGAATGATACATATTTTGTACACTATGTATGTACTGATAATTACATAAAATGTTCCCAGGAACTTATTGCAATTAAAATTTAAAGACCGTGTTTAATTATATCAAGCTCCTGGCTGTATTCTGGGTTCAATTTTTTCTTCTGAAGTTGAAGTTGGAAGCAGAAAAGATTGATGTTGTGTGGAAATGTTTAGATCAGTATCCTTCGTCTTTGACAGCAGACACATACCCAAGTTATTGCGCACACGCTTACCTTCGAGGTATTTATTAATCAAGCAAAAGCATTTGTAAAAACTAAAAAAATGTGAAAAAAGCAGATCAAACGTTGTAGTCGCGTATGGATGGATGCGGGGGCAATTACGAAGCATGTAAACACCAAATGATTTCACAATATAGTGGGACGGGTCAAAGGTTTACAGAAGTTTACAAAAGTTTACAAAAGTTACAGAAGAGAAACTGTGCTTTGTTTAGGCACCTTTTTATATATCTTGTAACTTTAGCTTTTGCTGAGTTAGGTAATGCAATAGAGCTATTATCTTCAAAGACCTTGTCAAACAGATTTGGACGTAAACTCACAATTGATCACGCGACGTAAGCAAGATACGTTTATCGAACTGTGAAAGTTATAAAACAATATCAAACATCTCTCAATATCATCTCCACGAAACCCCTTGGACGACCTAGGTTAAGTCTGCAACAGGCCTGAATCGGATCTCAATTTTCAGCATCGTATCACGATTGTCTAGAACATATTCTAGCTAATGCTCATGAAATATCTCAAAAGAAAACTTAACTGCTAGAAAATTCTAGCAGCTTTAGCCTACAATAACTTCGTTTATAGGCGGAAAATGGTCTTAAACAGTGCCAAAGGATTTATGAAAAAGGAAAATGGTTGTCTCCTATAGATTCTGGCTTCGACAGGCAACAGATGGACGGGTTCTGTCGCCACTTTTGCCGTCCATAGATTCTATCAAATCATCGGCATACTTGTCAAACAAACATGAATAGTGTACTTTACCGAGGTTCTAACATAAATGAGATGCCGGGGCAATGTCTTCTAAATTAAATATCACTCAGCTAACACCATGTGCGATTTTTCGATTATTCTTTACATAAACATTCAACTCTATATCACAGAACATGTTATTCCAGTTTTTAACAATTTTAAAAGGCGGTAAGAGATGACAATCTTTGTGCAGAGCATAAGATAGATAGATGAGAAACAAATGCCTGCACTTCCTACTGCAGGATGTCTTCCTGAAGAAAAGAAAAAGATCAATCAAATCGCTGAGATTAATAGCCTTTGCATGACGGAATCTATGTTTTTGATATTAAATCGTTGTGATCGCGCTATATTATTACATATTCTATGTTGAGATAATTGAGATAGCTTTCGCTGTGTGTAGGTGGCCTAACTTCGGTGCAGGTTTATGAAAACCTATTATTTTCAATCCACTAATGTCTGTATAATCAAATCAGATAATGTGGCATACGTTAGTTCTTATTGCAGCACACTCAGTATACTAAATAGCTTATTTTTGAAGATAACATCGTGCTGCCGAGTGAGGAACGTGTTTTTAACTTGGGCAGATACAGTCTCAATCAGCGTCTGTGTCTAATTTAGGCCTTAATTCATGGTGATTTAATAGACGACAAAACAATTTCTCCAACTTACCAACACTTTATCATAGAGATCATTGTTTTGCCTTTCAGTCCCTTCTAGACAAGTGCAGGTCTTCGTTTATCAGCATATCTAGCCATGTTTGAAAAATCACAGTAGGGCATTTTCACTTAAACTACAGAGTTCATACATATTGCAATAGAACGTTGCACATTTGTTCTATTCTCTCAAGTTTTTTGCTATAACGTGCATTCATTGCTGGCCTGTCGTATCAGGCTTCACAAAAACTGCTCGTTCATTTTTCTTTGCCTCCGTTTACGGACTCAACAAAACTTCATGGAGTGGAAGTTGCTTGGAAGTAACACGAAATACAAATTGGCCAACGGTCCGATCCTTCCTAACATCACCATTACCATCACGATTCCTGCCACCCCTACTGAATTTCTTTCATACTGTTGAATGAAACGAGGACAGCAAAACTTCCATGGGATAAAAGGGCCGATGCTTGTCGCAGGTACTCAAAGTAGCATCAAAATGGTGCCATTGCGAGGTACCAACGCGGTGAAGGACAGTACAGGTTGGAAGGAGCCGATATGGCCAGAACTCTTAGACAGGTATATACTAGCTAAATATCCGTCGCCACCGGCAATGCTGAGAGGCTAGGAGGCCCTTTTTCTCAAAACGGGTCCGACCGAGTCGTGGGGTAAAGCGAACGTACGGCTAAGCCCTCTAAGTCCCCTATAAAAGCCGTGATAAAAGCCGAACACGAGCCACAAAATGCGACCTGAACATCTAAACGCGAGAGAAGCCGACGGCCAGAGAAACAGACGAAGGAGTGAGTCGACGGTAAAGAGAGATAAATTTGGAGGACGAGAGCAGAGATGGCGGGATGGAACGTCCCTAAGACGAGAGGGATCCCTGGCTGGGATCCCTTTTGTGTGTCGGGGGTAGTTCGTTGCTGGAAGCACGGCTGAACTGAGCTCGCTGCTCCCGCCGTCGGAGTACGGGGGCACCGACAACGCTAGAGAGACGTAAGTCGACAGACAAGCGCTAGTCACCACGGTTCAACAAAACTACCTACCTTCAAGCCAACAGACTACAGCGCAATAGCAGCAAGCAGTAGAGGCCTCTACCTCAATGGGCAGCAGTAACAGCAGCAACTAGGAGCCCTCCACAACATAACAGCAGTGGCACAAAGGAGAAAATCCTCTTTGAAAATCCTCTCTAACCCACCTTTACCCCCCTCACACGAGTACAGTTCCCGTCAGCGGTACATGAATGCGTCCTCTATCGCTTCTTTCTCTGAGCCACCGGCCGCATTTCGGTGTGTCCGACGGACCGAGTGGCCGCCAGTCGCTGACAGAGGCAGGGGCTCTGCGAGTATGTGTGTATGCCTTTCTGGGTGTAGACTACATTGGTGCTACAGGACCAGGGAACAGCAGGCATGACAGTCGTAGCAGGAGCCTCAGTAGGGAACAGAACGAACACATAATTAATAACATGGCGGGAGGCGCGCATTGGCTTGCGGTCCGCTCTTCGCCCCCAACGTCTGTCCTCTCCACCGCAGGCTCCGCCTTCCGCTCGCAATCCCCTGTGCCATACTGCCACAGCTCCGCCGAACCCCGGCTAGAGTAGATCGAGAGCGCCTGGAGTAAGGCCGCCGCGCTGAAGCAAATCGTCCAGTGGGAGAGAGCACACTTCGAAGGCAGATAGAAACAAACGAAGAAGAACAACAGGCAGGAAAAAGAGCTCGCGGCTAAGTTCCATAGAACGACGGTGCGTCATAGCGAAAAGGCCTTTGAATTATGGAAAAGTCGTCCCAATAATGTCAAATGTGTCTGACATTCTGCATATTCGATCCAATGGCCGTATGCACGAGCGAGCATCATTCAGCGAAACAATTTACATGAGAGTTTTTAGGAAAGCACAGATTGCCGGTTGACGCTATATACCTAGTGACAAGAAGGAAACAGGCGCAAACCATCTTTGACCAGGACGATACAGTATACATCGAGCGTAACGCACGTATTGCACAAACATACACCGTGTGTGTGTTGCACGTACTACAAGCTTAAGGGTCACTGTGCATTTGTTTTTCTCTGAGATCAGTAATAAATAGGCCATGCAACAGTCTCGGTAACAATTACTGCCTTAATTTCAAATTTCTGTTAAGCATGATAGCCTGGTTCGACGCTGTGAAGGACTAGCATAGAGACATCAGTCTTACTTTCCTCAGCTTTGAACAGACGATACAGTGGCTATAATCTACGCAAAGCAACGGCCGAATTGTTGCGTCGTATGTGTTGGCTTGTTGACCGTTGGCTGGGTTGTACCGAAAGCGCACTTTGTTGCGGGGTGCACTATTGGGTACCTCTTTGTTTGTGTCGGTGTGACAGTGGGTTGCTGTGGTGCAGTGAGTGGTGGTGTGGTGAGCGTTTGGCGTGATCGTGTGGCGTGGAGCCGCCCGGAGTAACTGTGGGTTCCCTCGGAGCGCTGGGCGCGGGCGTCGGTGGTGGGTGGGCGCTGCTGCCCGCTGCGGTGGACCCCCCAGGGCCCGGTGGCCACCTGGCCCTTTCCGGCCCTCCATCGGGCCTCGCTTCCAGCGATATGACGGCGGGCTTTGTCGTCGAACCTGGCTCGGCAGAAGAGCCGACTATCGACGCCACCTTACTGCATTCTCTCGGACCGAACCTGCGATGTAAGTATACGTATATTGATTCCAACAGTCTATTACGGTTACCTAGAATGCATATAGGTATAGCCACTGGTGTAACTATTGTTGTTGGTAAAAACCAGGTTTCGGAAAGGTACAGCAGATAACGTAGCGGAGCAGTACGAAAGTCAGCCTCACACGTCCAACAATACAGCTCAAATAGCGATATAGGGGAGGGTGTGGTGATATATCGTATAGTTGCTATATGGGTCACTTCATTTTTTCTATCAAAGGAAAGTTGACTGGAAATTGTGACACTACAAAGCGTTCAAAACTTAAAATCACAGACTCATTGAACCTGTTTATTTATTTATGGATCAGACATTTTTACCTTTGTTTTCTTATTTTAATGAATCTCTTGACCAAAGTTCAAAAGATGAAGTTCTATGTAATATAAGAATCAAGAATTTTCTGCATTTTATTCGATCTTTCTTGAACAACAAAGAAGTATAGAAATCCTTTTGTTGTCCTGCCATAGTTTCGCTTGGTCCAAAACCACATTAAAGGCAAACTAAAGGCAGGCTATGTTCTATAGAAGTCTTTACATTGACTTATAGTATCTGATCATTTTAGGGGTTATATAGGCCTGACTGAATGAGGTGGGGTTATTCATATAAGTCATTGTAGTTCGAGCAGAAATTCAACCGGGTGCTATCGACTCTAAGTTTAGAGGGAAGTAAAAGGAAACGTAGTGACCTCAGAGCACAGGTGAGCTTAGTAGCAATGCGTATATACGTCAAATTCAACGAAAAGATCGTAGTGTCGCACCCACGTATTGTTGGTTGCTATTGTCAACAATTTCTTAAATTTTGACAGAAATTTCGATGACAGTTTATTGGTACAACGAATCGTTCCGACAAAACAATATTGCTAACATATGCACGACACTGCGGACCATAACCATTGATACCATAAGTTTTATGGGTTTCAGTTTGGAGAATGGTCAGCACATTTTTAATGCTATTACTTCAAATGTAGGTTGTAGGTATGATTGCAGCTCAACCTGTAGAAGCGGACTTTAGGCTGCATAGCAGCAATTTGTGTTGATTGATAACAGACGGATCGTAACCTTTGACCTGCCTAATTTGGCAATAGAGGATCGGCCTTTCTAGCCACGGTCATCATCCTCTCTAGGCAGAAATTAATTTTCCCTTCGATTCTACTGGATGACTAATAGTTCACTTTGCTTCATTTTGTCGCGTCAAGTTTGTTTTCATCAAGTGGGCTGACTGAATAGCAGATACATTTACACCGTATATATATATTCGTTTGGTATACTTTTTTTTTTAGCACCGATTGTTTTCAGCGATAGCACGAGCAAAATGTTACGCCATATAACCCTACCCTTCCCTAAATCCCAGTACACGTATACTGGGCGTAGGCAAAGGGCAACGGGCTGGGCTAGGCAAAGGGCTGTATCGGTGAGGTCTGGTCAGACATCTGCTAGTATGCCTATTTAGCGAGCCTTAACAGGTGCGTTCAAGTTGTAAACGGAGTTGATTTCCGTTAGTTTGCTCATATTCGAAGATGGCACTGTTGACCGATTGCCTAGTAGTGATGAGTTCGTGTGCCATCTGACGCATAATACCTATGAGTAACACTGCTGGAATCTAGATACTAAAAAACACTGCTCTAATTTGAAATTAAGATTATGTTGATGATGAGCGTTATAGAGTGATCAGATTTGTCAGATTGCTATCTAGCTCGCCAACGTTTTATGTAGCTTTAATTTTTTGAAAAAATTTGAACAAAAAATGTCGGACAGTACTTTTACCTCGTGAAGTATCTTTTATTATTACCCGTTTACTTTATTTTGAGAACAGACAATTCTGTCACTGTTACCATAATAGGTAGTACTTAAGCGTATACGGTATGATTATAGTATAGATCGTGTATGCTATGAATCCGATTGATGCTTAATCAGACCTTGAGAGATGATTCATAACTGCAGAATTGAAGATTATAAAATAGTAGATTGACATTTACTATCCGTTCATCTTGATTCGTTGCCACCTAGGTTTACCGCTCGTTGAGTAAATGGGAAAACGGAGCAAGCTTTAGGTCGCCATACGTCGAGTTACTATACAAACAACTCACGTTAATGTGCAGCTACCCGCTAGCGACCAGCTGTTCTATGTTCTCGTTATGGCGCGGTATCCATAAGGCTCCTCAAATGGCTTCGCTCTCCACACACATGAAAACAATGAAGACCGCTACATGGTGAAGTCCTCTATTATCTAATCAACTTTATGGTGGCAGTACATATGGTCAGTTCGCTAGCGATCAGCTACACAAATCAGCGGATAGTGCAACGCCGCCCGAGATGAAATTGATGGCAAAAAGCAAAAATAATCAATCCATTGAACTTCATAGTAAATCATATGACCTAACAGATTACTACCCTGCTGGTTGTGTTAAATATGAATGACAACATTAACTCTTGTTAAAGGCTCGTTGAGTTTATGTACAAAACGTACAAAGCACTTCTAGGCAAATCTATAATATGCACATGGCATAATGGCTGTTTTCAAACCGTTTTCGAGGCTGTATCGTATTGAAGCGCCTTTCAACTCAGTTACAACTCAGCGAAACGTCAGTCAGTCAGTCAGTCAGTCAGTCAGTCAGTCAGACAGACAGACAGACAGACAGACAGACCGACCACCAGTTGATGATTTCTGCACAGTCATTGTTTTCTATTGGCTAAACAACAATTGGAGAATGATCGGTCAGATCATGTGTGCAGTGGGAATAAAGAGATCGCGCTAGAGCACCAAAACGTTCACGCAAAAGCGTATATGCAGCCAGTAACAACAGCAAATTACAGAGCATTAGTGGATCACTCAGATGTTATCGGGGTCATTTCCTCAGTATCTTTACGATAAGGCCGATGCTCTGGGAACACACGAACGAACACGGCACTCGTTCACACGACCGCCCTCACTATCGCTATATTAAGTTGATTGTAACTTACGTTAATATACACATTGGCTGCCATTTTCTGTTGCACCATAAGGTTGCGTCAAATGATCGTTTGTGAACGACTCTTCTGACATCACGTCTGTCATGCATAACGAGTTTCTGATACTTGCCCGTCTGCATCCATGTATAGTATTCGCTTATAGTATGTTATGAGAGTGTGACTGTTGAAGTATATTTTTGCCGGTCAATCGGTCGGTCGGTCGGTCGGTCGGTCGGTCCGTCCTAAAATGAAGGCTCCCAGCGTCACGATCCAGGATGGAAATGAGGAACGATCCTGTCCTACCTTCAGCCGTAGGGACCGTTTTTTCACAACGACTGTTCTAAACTTATGTGATTCGGCCAAGTAGTGACGATATGACACTGTACAACTTCTTTTGTAGACAGATAGTGTGGGTTTTAACTGGCGTTGTCCTTACATGAACCGAGTATACATATATGCTCAGCATACAAGATATCGGTATAACGTCGGATAAACTATTGATTACAACATCAATATTCTGCGAAACGCTTTCCGCCAGCCACAGTTTCTATTATCGTAATTTCTCTTCTTATCATCGTCTCTTGATCGATAATACTACACCCCTTCAAATTGATAGTAATTTTATCAATTACCATCGTAGACCATCTATTCGGGAACTAAACATTATACATCACTTCGACATTTTACGGATATCAGTCCAAGCACATACTGCAAACATAGAATCTTCTCTACTCATTCTTTAGAATTGCGTTGCCGATACTAGAAAGTGTTCTATGGACACATTGGTGTAATTCATTATTTGCTCAGTGGTTCGTCTGTAGGCAGGCCTCATTTTTTGCTACACAAGATAGATAGGTTTATTCTTAGTTTAGTGATAATAATTTGTGTGAGATTATTTTCACAAATATAATAAATCTATATTTACGTAACATAACAAAATCTGCTCGTTTACCTTCTATCTACTGTTGTTGACACCACGTGCCATATGTCTGCGTTACCAAACGTCAGGAAGACAAAGCACTTAACTTAAATAGAGTTAAACTTACTCTAGGATTTGGTTGTTTTACGTAGGCGAATTATTTGGTTTCTCTAAATCCTTAAAAGGCTGTACTGGCCTATTGCTTTTCCTTCTCAGCACAAATGCCGTGTATAGCATCGACGTCTGTAAGGTAAGCGACAATCAGAATCTAGACTTGGCGAGAGCAGCCCGATTGTGTGTATCATCCGCGATTCTGGGGCGCTCGCCTACGACTATGCGCACTACGAGTGTTTGAGTATGAACTGGGGTGGTTGCTAGGATAGAGAGTTGATATGCGTACGGAGCACAATCGTATAGCCCATCTCCCATTTTTTAAACTCTCTATCTCGCTCTTTCTCGTGACCAACGGCGATAGCGGCAGATAGCTATCGTGCAGACCTTTCTGACGGGAGAACTAGCCAAAGAGCCGATCCAAGAAACAGAACGCACATCAAAATAGGATCGGCTGTCGATTCGTATTGGGTCTTTGGTTTTGCTCCCTTCAATACAGATCGGTGGCTGAGATCCCGCAATAGTGCTGGAATGCCGTGCTGCCCTAACAGTAAGGCCTTGCCCAATGTCTACACACTATAGGTGGTACAATTGTAATAGACGACCTCTGTACGTGTCTATATGCGACACTTAAATTGCAATGGTCGACTGGCTACCCTCAGCTGAAATTCATGCCCATTTCAACCACTTACCTCCGAATCGAAACAGAGTAGGCTAGTCGTGCCAAGGCATGCCTTCAAGGAGTTAGGAGGTTAGGGCCAGATAGGCCGACAAACGGAAGAGGGTGCAGAGATAGCAAAAGACAACAGAGAGCGGCGGTAGCGCGGTAATACCTATAGGCATGCCAGAAGGTAGAAAAGCCACAAAATGGATAGGGAATAGTCCCCGAAATTACAGCTGAAGAGAAGACTTAAGTTGAACTACCCTTCGCTCAGTCTAACCCTCACCTTCCCCCTTTTAACTCCAATGGAGTCGTGCCCACATTAAGAAAACGAG